GGCGGGGAGGCGCCCGGCGGCCGCAGCCCCGCGCCGGGAGCGGGATGCGTGAGTCTCCCCCGGCTCGAGGGCAGGATGTGGGAGCAGGACAAAGGCTGGGCGGCGGGGGAGGAGTTGGGGCCGGCGAGCTGGGGAGCCGGGGCGCCGCCGGAGCCCAGCCTCGGGCCGGCTAGTGCAGCGGCAACTTTCTCTGCAACTTTTGCAGCCGGGAAGAGCAAACGCCTGCAAGTTGTCGCCCAGCGCGAGATCGCCGCGGTCCGGCGGGCACAGGGGAGGGGGCACCGCAGGCGACCGCCGGCTGCGCCGAGCGCGCAGGACGGGGCGGGCGGGGCCGGGGTCCCGGGCGCGCGTCGCTCGGGCGCTGAAGCTGCCGTGTCCTCTCAGGGTGCGCCCCGAGACCCCGGTAGCCGCGCGGCGCGGCGCTGCAGTCGCGGTGATGGATGAGCCCTGGTGGGAAGGGCGCGTCGCCTCGGACGTCCACTGCACCCTGCGCGAGAAGGTCAGTCCCTCCCGGTGCCTGTCACTCGCCGGACTGGGTGTGCAAGTCTCGCTCCCGACTCCGCGTCCTCGGATCGCCCGAGTGAGGACTCAGAACTCCCGGTGCCTTCCTTGCTCTCGCCCTGTACCCCTCCCGGAGTGCCGGGGTGGAGGGCGCGGGGACTGGAGGCTGGGAAACTTGAACTCGCCTTTTCTGATTAGGAGCCCAAAGCTCCGAATTTCCCATAGCACCGTATCGCCTCTTCTGTGTAATTTTAAATGGTATAGGAACGGACATTTAGGCAGGTTGTGAGGCCAGGTACATACCTCAGTGGCACAGGTGCCTGCCTGGCAAGCACAAGGTCTTGAGTTTGATTCCCGGTGCCAAAAAAAAGGTGGTGGATTTGCTTACATGTGCAATATATATATTTATATTTCTACATAGGCTAACTGGTGCTGATTTTCCATTTATGGTAGCAGTGATGTAGCATTTTTTTTAAGATACCTCTTTTCAAAAAATTCATTCTTTCCACGATTCTGGTCGCAGACCGAGTTGGGCAAGAACTGAATCAAATTCGACGATTAGGTTCAGTGCTGACTTTATGGGGAAGTTTGATCACTTCTTGTCCAATTCGGTTTGCGCTCACAATCATGGAAAGAATTACGTTTGCGAAACGAGGTCCCGCTGTAAATCCATTGGGCCAGGGGCATAGTTCAATAGTAGAGCACTTGCCTAAAGTAAATATGTTTGAGGAAAAGTAACAACTCGACGTAATGAAATACGAGACGGGTGGCAGTGCTGGGAGTGTGGGCCGAGTGTGCGCGCGCGTGTGTCATGAAACCGAATGACTGAAATTTAAGAAACACTCGCTGAAAGAGACTACAGAACTGGGAGGTTGAGGGAGGGAACAAAAACGCCCCTGCCCGTTTGCCTGCTGGCGGAAGGTGGGCCCCTGAAATGCGATGCCTGTGCTCCTCCCTGCCTGCCAGAGAGACGCAGGGAGAGCCCAGGGAGCCCAAGGCCCAGGTCTGTGTCTTCGCCGCTGCGCCTGGCCGGGCTGAAAGGGGAAGCCCTGTGTGGGGCACAGGTGTGAAGTAGGGGCGTGGGTGCGTTTCCTGGGGTTGCCATACCAGAGGACCACTAACTAGAGGGCTTGGAGCAGCGGTGTTCCTTTCCTTTGCCACCCTGGAAGCTGAAAATGGAGAAGAAGGTGCCGGCAGGAGCACGCTCGCTCAGAAGGCTCCAGAGGACGCTCTGCCCTTCTTGCTCCTTGAATTCGGGTGGATGCTGTCAGTCTGCGGCATTGCTCAGCCCGTCGCGTCCTCACTCCATCCCGGCACTCACCTACCCCTGTCTGCCTCTGCTGGTCCAGCCTGTAGCTTTCCCCTGGTCCCTCATTCTTCCTCCTACACGCAGAATGACCAAGGTGCCGAGTGTGAGCCATCTGGAGAAGTCCATGTGTCAGCGGCTCAGCTCAAAAGCCGAGGCAGTAGGATCTTGCTGCTTTGGGGAGGCGGGTAGCTGAGTGGAGTTGATGAGGAGTACGGGGCGTTAGCTTCCTTTATGAGCATAGACTTGAGTGGTTGTCAGAAGCCCACGTGGGTGTGATTTCTGCACATAGTTTGGAGGCATAGCTTTGACCTGATTTGCCCTTTTTTGAGAGGGAGCATTGTGTATTCAGCTAGTTCGGTTACCTGGTAACTAGCAAGATGTACTCAACTAGTTCAATTACCTGAGAACCCTCAGCTGTCTTGTTTAGTGCTGGGGCCTTGGAGGCTAGAACAGAACCCCCCTGTATGTGTGGAATGAGGAGGAGAATCAGTCTTTACTTCTGTGAACAGAGAGAAATGTTCACGGGACTGTAAAGATGAAGCAAGACGGTCGGAGACTTGCGTGAGACGTGGTAAGTACACGGCTGGCGTCTTGACTTCCAGTTCCGATTGTCGTGTGGGCAACCAATAGCCCTTTCATAGAGCGTGTGCTCAGGCAAAGGCTGGGGCTTGTGCCCACCCTTCCCAGGGGCCCACAAATACGATAGGTAATCTTTCTGTGAAAGCCGTCGTTCCCTCATTGGATCTTTGGATCAGTGATGGGATTAAGACCCAGACAGACAGAAATTTCCCCGAAGTCATGTATCTGCTGAGCGCTGGGACTCAGCTGGATACCCCACAGCAAGACCTGGGGATCCAGATAACTCCAGGGAAATCTCTCGCTTCTCCCTTTCCTCACCACCTTTATCCCATGCTAAGATTTCAGATTCCCCCTTTGATCACCTCCTGACCCTCTTGCCTTGGACCCAGAACTGGCCTCCCTTTGGAAAGCCTGCTCCTGACCGTTCCGCTGGGGTGGGGTCGCAGCTGGTACAGGAGGGTCAGACTTCTCACCTGCTCTCCCAGTGCCCCTTGACCCTCCTCCCTTCATGGCTCCTTGGTGAAGGGAGGAAGCTGGCAGTGATGTTTTTCTGGTAACCAGGTCTAACCAGGCCCGTGCCCTTGTGAGTATACAGATTAAAACCGAGAACCATTTTTCTTTCTCAGCAAGATGCATAACCTAAGTTTAAAATTAATATAGAGTCTGATATGCACACACTAACAGGTTTGAGTGCGCTCAGGGTAGAACAGGGCGTAGGACAGCGCTCAGCTTGAAGCTTGCCTCTCCTCTGCCACATGTCCTGGCCCCAACAGCCTTGCGCTCACTTCTGAGCCTGATCTCCTGCAGGCATGAGGTGCTGCTGGTCCGGTGGCATTCCCAGGCCACTCCCAGGCCAGCGTCCAATGCAGAGGGACCTCAGGGGTCCTGCAGCTCCATCTAATGGCTGTGCAGGAATGTCCCCAGAAGCTCGCCTTGGGGCTATAGCATATGCTGTGGCGTAGCCCCATGCTGCCGAGGCAGTCCACAGGGTTTGTTGGCCATGGCGCCAGGCGCGAGACCTGGTGGGGGATGCTTCCCAAGCTTCCTATAGACCTGCATGTCCTCAGCTAATGCTGGGCAGAGCCTTAGAAAAACAGCTACACAGAAGGGCAGGCTTACTGGCCTGGACCAAAGTACAGCCTCAGGATCTTAAGAAAATGACCATTGGTTGAGCCCAGGTAATTGAAGTCCAGGTAATCCCTCACAGGTCTCTATCAAGAGTTTCCATTTTTCTTCCTGAATTTTATCTCCAAATAGGCAGCAAAAGTAGGCAGGACTTACTCTTGTCGCCTTTAGATGGATGTGCGTTTGGCACGGGCTTCACATTGCAACTAGGAGGTAGTTCTGTTAGGAAGCGAAGAACGTGTTTTAGGACTTTCACAGCTGTGATGTGAAGCAGCTCGGGAACGTGGAAGACCTTCTGAATTTAGGGGTTTGGGCAGTAGTTGAGAGGGGAAAATAAAAATCCTTCCTCCCAAAGCCACGTCCGCAAGCCCTGCCTGATGTGACCTAGGTTTATCACGCTGGGCTTCAGGCAGCCTGCAGGCCAGAGGTCGCCCCTCCTCCTGCAGCAGCAAGCGCTGTCCGTCTTCTGGGCTGGACATCAGTGTTCTCACCTTGTCCCGATGATCCGCGATCGCAGAGCGACCAGCCACCCAAAGCATTCCTCTTAGCTCCTGAAGCAGTTTCTTCATCAACTTCAGCTGTGTGAGATCTCAGTGCTTGAACCGGTGGACTGACAAAGGATGCTTTTACTGACTTGTGACTGAATTTATAAGAAGATCTGCCAAGCACCAGTCCCTTTTAACGATGATAATCCTGGTGGCTACAGTTTGTAAGCACTTGCTGTATTTTGCACACTGGATCGCCCATGTATCATCTCGTTTTCTCATCTCAGCCCCAGTGGGGTGATTGCACCTCGTTTTACAGATGGAGAATTCACTGCAAGGCGCAGAGCTATAACTGTCTTGAAATCAAAGGCCTGACTGTATCAAGGCTCAAATGTGAATTCGTTTGAAAAAAAAAAAACATTTTTACAAAGCATGGGGATACAAGGCATGGCGGCCTCCGTGGATCTGGAGACTTGTGCATCTCAGCTTGTTTTAGAGTGGTTTCCAAGAGCGGTGCTCTCCCTGAACCACCGAGACCCGTTAGCAGCTGTGGGTGCTGTCCCTGTCCAGGCATCGGCAGGCTAGGGCCTCCTCATGTGGTCTGGGGGTGACTGTACCTGGTGCCCCTCTCTGTGTGGTGCACCTCACTGCAAAGTGACTTGGCCTCTGAGGTTGCTGTCCTGGGGCAGGGTCGAGTGGTCTGTTCTCCGTGTCAGGGAGGGGACACAGCCAAACTCTTTGTTTTCACTTTTTTGTTGTTGGTGGTGGTACCTGGAATCGAACTCAGGACCTTGCGCTTGCCAGGCAGGCACTTATGCCGCTGAGCTACATCCCTGGCACGGCCGAACTCTTGACAGCAAATGAAGGTAGAGTTCCCCTCCAGCTCCATCCTCCTGCCTTCCTTTCTGGAGCCCTGGAAAGCTTTTCCATTGCTTGCTTTCTCGGTTCCAACATCAATTTTATTTTTCTCTCACGCTTCCTGTTAAATTCCTCACCCGTCCCCGCAGCAGGCTGAACGTGTGTCTCCTCAGAGGAAGAGGCGGCTTGAGTCTGTGTTGGTTTTCGCATTCTCTTCCCCTCCTTTTGGCCTTCCACTCCCCTGGGCAGCCCATCCCCCTCTAACAGGAGACACACCCAGGTCTGCCAACAGGAGGGCAACCTGGACCCTGTAGATGATGGTGTGTGCCCAGCTGAGATCCAGTGACGTGTGACTTGCATACCCAGACGTGGCTCTTAATGAGCCCTCCCCCCCGCACTGACAGGGCTGTCTCTCAGCTATGTCCTCACGTGAGACCCCAAGCAGTCGGTGCTGCCTGAGGTATGGGTCCTGAGGCTCCCAGGACGAGGAGTTCTCTGAAGTCCAGACTGCAGGTGACCTGGGCTGCCCCAGGATGGGCTTGGGGGCTGGGTGAGATGCCGTGGAAGATCGCATCCAGCTTTGAGGCTCCCTGACTCCAATGCCCCACTACTTTATAGGACAAACTAGTGACAAAACTGAAT